GTCTCTGGCGATTTGCGGCGCCGCGGGCACTGCTGCCGCCCCTCCGCGCCCGCCCGCGCCCCCGTCTGCAGCGCGCCGAGAGCTGGCGAGCACCGAGGGCAAGGCGCTGCGCCCGCGGGACTTCGGGCCGCGCGCCAAGCGAGGCTCGGGCCTCGGCGGCAGACTCGAGGGGGATGATCACGCGCTGCACGAGCGCGCGCAAGCCGCGAGCAGGGCCCGCGCCGCGACGAGACCCACACGCAGCGCAAGCCCCGGGCCGCCCTCGACCGGAGCAAGCGCGCCGACGAGCACGGCGCCAGGAAGCCCCCCCACCCTGTCCAGCGCCGCCAAGGCCAAGAGCTCGAAAAGTGGCACTGCAACCGCGAGGCGGCCACGACACGGCGCGGGCTCCGGGCGGCAGTCGAGAAGAAGACTGCCGCGGCGAGGCTCGGCAAGGACGGCCTCCTCGCTCGCGGGCGGGGCCGCCCCGACCGCGGCGAGCGCGAGAGCGAGGGCGCCAGGCTCTCCCGCGACGCGCCCAGCCAGGTCACCGCCGACCGCCTGCTCGAGGGCGCCGCGCGCCGCGACGCGAGCGCGGCCACACGGTCAAGGAATCCGGCGCGGGCGCGCCAAGCTGAGTTCGAGACGGACAAGCAGCTCCTCCCGAGACAGGCCGGGCACAAGAGCTACAACACTGACGCTCAAACCTCCCAGACCAAACAGCAGCGCAAAAAGAACGAGAAGTGGGCGGGCGAACTCACCCTGCCCAGGCCGCGCACGAGCGGGCGCATGGGCCGGCGCCTGTCCGACCAGAGGGACAATGACCCGGGCCGCGGCCGACTGGCCCCTGCACCTGGCGACGAGGGGCGGCCCCGCAGGCCTCGGCCTCCTCGCCCGGGGCCCAGAGACGGTCCGACGAGCAAAGGGCCGACGCGAGCGCGGTCTGGGACGACGCCGCCGCGCCCCGGCCCACGCTCCGCGGCGAGGAGGCAGCGCACGTCCACGGGGGCGAGATTTACGCCGCAAGCGCCAAGATGCGCAACCAGAACCTCTGCCGCAGGCGCCTCGAGACGCAGAGCCAGGAGGACAAGGCAGCTTTCGACACCGAGAAAGCCAAGTCCTTAGCAGGGCACCCCGACGAAAAGTCGAGGCCAATTCGTCAACATCTCCGCCGTGGAGGGTCGGATCGACCCGAACAAGGGGGCCCAGGTCCGCCGAGACGCGCAGCGCGCGGCTCGCCCCCTGCGCCACGCGCTGCCGAATGACCGACGCAAACCTCGAGGAGGGCCCCTCGCGGCGCGACGTCACCCACGGGCGGGCCGACGGAGAAACAGAGCGCCCACGAGCAGGCGGGCCCCGAGGCGCACTGCTCAAGAGCCGGCGCAACGCTCTGCTCGAGTTCTCCGAGGAGGACCGCGCGAGGCTCTTCGGGGCCATCGGCGCGCGGGGGCAGCCGAGGGCCTCGGCGGACGAGCTCATTGTCATTGCGAGCTGGACCATCGACATCATCAAGGAGCAGCACAGACAGAGCCTCGCGTCCCCCGACTGCCCGTCGAGCCAGTGGACCAGGGCCGTCGCGCTCCGAGCGCGGCTCTGGAACGTGACCCACGCAGCCTGGCAGGAGCCAGACGCCCGCGAGCGCCGCCAGCTCAAGGCCACGATGCGAAAGGACATGGCAGAGATGAACTGGGCCATAGAGCAAGACTCTGGATCCAGGAGGAAGGCCGAGCCCGAAGAGCAAGACACGTCCCGGGCCCTATGGGCGATCACCGAGCGCCTCTACTTTGCATCCGAGGCCTACACCCGCATCCGCGACAGGCACAAGGAGGCGAGGCCGCTCCAGTGGCTGCAAGCGAACCCGACTCTCGTTGCCCAGCCCGAGAACGCACCGCCAGCCCCCGACTGGAGCGCCGTCAACGGCGAGTGCTTCCGCGTCGAGGAGCCCAAGGACTGCGACGAGGACGAAAACCCACAGGAAGCTGTCGGAAGCAATTGAAGCGAGGGTGGAAGCCGGCGGAAGCGAGGGCGGAAGCTGGTGGAAAATCGGGGCCAGGAGGCGGAAGCAGGCGGAAACTCACGTGTGTCGGTGGCCCCCGAGCCTCACTGGTCACGGTCGAGCAGGACCACAAATTCCCCAATCCGGACATGCCAGTGTACCGTGGCGCACCGAGCTCGCCACGCGGCACGCAATTATGATTTGCGGGCAGGTCAAAAAGGGCGGCGCCCTCGAGCTGGACACGGCGCGCGCGCTGCCGGGCCAAATCGAGGGGCGCGCGGGCGTCCCTGAGACTGTCGCGGCGGTCGGGCCCACGGTGGCCGTCGCCTGGGCTCGCGAGGGCCACGGCGAGGACGAGCCCGCTGCCCACAAGCACGAGGAGCAGAACCTCTGGGCCGAGGAGGCTGGGCACCGAGCACTCACTTCAAAGTGTGCAAGCAAGGGGCAGGCATGTCCGTCGAATACAGGGACGCCCTCAAGAAACCGCCCGAAAACGCCAGGCACGCCACCACGAGGATCCCCCGAAAGCTCGGCGCCATCGGCCCTGGTGAAGAACGCCCCGCGAGCAGCAACAAGAATCCCACCAGCCCTTTGGGCGTGAGTGGTTTGGAGAGCAATCTCTGTTCTCAACCCCCCTTCTTCCCCTTCGGGGAGGGGTTTACCCCTCCCCCTACCCCCTCCCCCTGGGCCTGGAGAGGGCGTTCCGCGGGTCGTTGGAGGGGTCTTTTTCGACCCCTGGGAGGGCTAAAAAACGACACCCCTCACGAGGATTCTGGCCCCGAGGGGGGGAGAAAAAAAAAACATCTTTGATCGATCGCCCGAAAGTAGGCCCCAAGATACCTCCCAGACTCCTCCCAAAGAGCCCCAAGAGGCCCCAAGAGGCCTCCAAGAGGCCCCCAAGAGGCCCCCAAGAGGCTCCCAAGAGGCCCCAAGAGGCTCCCCCGAGGCACCCAAGACGCTCCTGGAAGCCCCTGGGGCCGCCGAGAGGCCCCCAAGACGCCCCAAACGGCCTCCAAGAGGCTCCCAAGAGGCCCGAAGAGGCTCCCCCAAGGCACCCAAGACGCTCCTAGAAGCCCCTGGGGCCGCCAAGAGGCCCCCAAGACGCCCCAAGAACGACTCACACCAGGACGAGGCGCCCGAACGACTCACACCACGAGGAGCCCGAACGACTCACACCACGACGATGGGCCCCGAACGACTCACACCACGAGGAGCCCGAACGAGTCACACCAGGAGGAGGGGCCCGAACGACTCACACCAGGACGAGGGGCCCGAACAACTCACACCACGAGAAGCCCGAACGACTCACACCAGGACGAAGAGCCCGAACGACTCACACCACGAAGAGCCCGAACGACTCACACCAGGAAGAAGGGCCCGAACGACTCACACCAGGACGAGAAACCCCAAACGACTCAAACCACGAGGAGCGCTTTCTCTCCCTCCTCCTCCGCCTCGTCCTTCTCCCGCTCCCACCACAAGGAGGATGTACAAGGAGGCGGGAGGAAGGAGGAACAGGGGAGATATGCGGGGGCAGGCGGAAGCACGCCTGAAAAACACGACTGTCGGCATGCTTCGCAAGAGTTGCTGTTTTGAGATGGGCTGGTGGGGATACGCGAAGCGTGAAGAATTTCCAAGCGGATGGCTGGACTTGTGGGTTGCGGATGACGAGGTGAGTCGAGCGCGCCTTGCGCGACATCCGAAGCGAGGGGCACCAACCGCCTATCAGCATTTACCAGGCGCGCGCTCGAGGCAACGAGTGGATCCAGAAGCTGCAGGACACTTGTCGACAAAGCCACGGCCCAGACCAGGAGCAAACGCAAGGCCCAGCCGCCGAAGGACCCGACCGCGCTAGAGCCCAACCACGAAACCTTCGAGCACGCCCAAGCCGCCGCGCAGGCTTGCACAAGGTGCGTTCCCTGCAAGGACGGCGCCAAGGGGTGCCGAGCCTGCGTGGGCGATTGGTTCGAGATGGTTCGCAAGAGGGGGTTCCTGGCGACGAGCGCCAAGGACCTCCAGAGCGCAGACAAGCTTTAAATGCCAGGTCTCGAGGCGCCAAGCACTGCACAGCGAGGATCTAGAATGGCTCCCAGCATCATCTTCATCATCATCATCATCATCATCATCATCATCATCATCGTCGTCGTCCTCATCATCAGCAGCATCATCATCGGCATCATCATCATCATCATCATCATCATCATCATCATCGTCTTCGTCATCATCATCATCATCATCATCATCATCATCCTTCCCACCACGATCATCATCATCAGCAGCAACATCATCAACAGTGGCAGCAGCAGCGGCAGCAGCAGCAGCATCATCATCACCAGCATCATCATCATCATCATCATCATCATCATTGTCATCATTGTCATCATTGTCATAATCAGCATCAGCATCAGCATCAGCATCAGCATCAGCAGCATCAGCATCAGCATCAGCATCAGCATCAGCATCAGCATCAGCTTCATCAGCATCAGCATCAGCATCAGCATCAGCATCATCATCATCATCATCATCATCATCATCATCATCATCATCATCATGATCGTCATGCTGCGACCTCGGGGAACACGTTCATCATCCCCCTTTTGAACCCCGAACTCTACCATCCCCAGGGGCTTGACATCAGGGGCCGTCGTTGGTTCTCTCGTGGGCCTGCTGGCGAGCCAAGACGCTCCACCAGGGCCCGCTGCTGCGTTCGCACGGCGGCGCCGCCCCCCTGTTCGGCGCACCCCTCGCGCGTTTCGCTGCCGCGCGAGAAGTTCCATCGAGGGGCCCCATTTGGCTGCGCTCGCATGGCGCCGCCGCCCCTGAGTCGGGCCACCCGTCAGACGCTTCGGTTCCCCGTCGGCAGCTCCGCCAAGACGCTTGGCCACTGCCTGTGCGGCCCCCTCTTCCCCTCTTCCCCTCTTCCCCTCTGAGGCCCCCTCTTCCCCTCTTCCCCTCTTTTCCCCTCTGAGCCGCTCGAGCCCGGGTTGCCCCCTCTTCCCCCGCGCACCTCGCGGCCGGCCGGCTCCTCCGGCAGCAGCTCGGCCTCGCGGGCCTCCTGGAGCGCGTCCTCTGCCTCGGGGCTCGGGGCCGGCTGGCCAGGAGGCCAGGGGGGAGCTGCTCGGGTCGGGCGAAAGAGGGATAGCAAAGGGGGGGTTTGAGAACCAGCTCACGTAGCTGATTTTCCTGGCGCCTCCCGGCGCCGGAGGCGGCTATGTATCGAGGAATGGGCCCCTCGGTGGGGCCGACACCAGCTGCATACAGCAGATTTCGTAACCCCCCCTTTCCCAATCCCCCCCTTTCGTCCGCCCCGGGCTGCGGGGAGGAGGGGGGCCGCGGGGGGGGGGGGGGGGGCTGTTTTTTTTTTTTTGGGGGGGGGGGGGGGGGGGGGGGAGAAATCTGGGCGCTGACGGCCGTGGTCGAACCCTCTCCCCCGATACCCCCGAAAGACATCACGCTGTGTTGCCCCCATTTGCAAAAAGGTCCCACGGATTCTTCGGGGTTTTCCTGAGATCTCTGGCGCCCCCCCACGGTGATGTGATCGGGCCTCGTTGTTTCCTGCCTCTGGGGGCCCTGACCAGGCCTCGGGACCGTCAACTGGCGGCGGCGCGCAGAGGGGGTGGGGGGAGAGGGAAGGCTTCTCAGAAAGAGGCCGTTTCTTAGAAAGCGCCGGCCTTACCATCTACAAGGGCTCCTAAGTTCGCGCTTCGCGCTGCGCGAAGCGCGAAGCGCGAATAACTTCGCGCTCTCGCGCCGCCCCCCCAAAGGGAGAAAAGGAGGACGAGGAGGAGGGGGAGAAGGAACGAGGACCGCGAAGCGCGAAGCGCGAATAACTTCGCGCCCTCGAGGGAGCCCTTGCCTCCTAGCCACTCTTTGCGCGTGGCCGAATCAGAAAACGACTCAGGATGAAGAACCGGTCCCTGTCATGGTTGGAGAGCTCAGGGGGTCGAAGTGATGAAACGAAGCATGACCTCAACCTCGGGGGCCTGGGGGGAGGGGAGGGGGGAAGACGGGGGGCCCTTCCTCCTCGTCCTCCCCTTCAGCTCTTCAGGGCGAAGATCCAGGTACGTAGGCATATCCAACACCTGGGGAGCCAATGTCCCTGACCCTTCGTGGGCCCCGGGAGACAGCAGGGCCAATTTGTCACCGTTTCCGAAAAGTGTCCCTTGATCACGGAAACGACAAAAAAAACTAGACAAAAACAGCTTCGGGACTGGAACTGGAGCCAGAACGGGCGAAAACAAACGGCAACAGACCGGCAAAAAACGGCAAAACGGAACCACCAAAGGAACGGAAAAACCGGAACCAGTAACGAGCAAACGGCCCCTTCGCTTCCAGGGCCCGCCAAAAAGCCTCGAGCCCAGAAGGCCGCGGAGAGGGAGATCTCTGGGCCCCCGGGGGCCCGAGCAGGTCTGCGTGCACCGCCCTCTGGGGCCTCGGGGCGCCGGACCCCGGGCGGTGGACACTGCAACGTTTTTGGACGCCCGAAATGGGTACCGAAAAAATGGGTACGATGCCCAACAGCAAATGTTGTCCCAAACCAACAGCGGCCGCTGTTGGGCAGGCGGCCCTCTGTCTCAAATGGACACAGGCCGCGGCGGCGCGGACAGCGAATCCTGTTCAGAATGAACAGGAACTGCTGTTGGACATCGTACCCATTCTTTCCGTGCCCATCTCGGGCGTCCAGAACGTTGGACCCTTGAGCGGTGGACACTGCAACGTTGGGCTCTCCAAGAAGCCGTCGTCGCCCCGGCCGTATACGCAGCTCGGGGCCCCTGGGGGGAAGGGTCGGGGGGGCAGATCCTGGGCGGACGCCGCCCAGGCCTCTGATAATTACCCCAGGACCTGCAACTTCAGAGGGGGGGGGGAGGGGGGGCAGGATCCTCCTCAGAAGGGGGGGGGGGGGGAGGGGGCAGGGGGCAAGGGGGAGGGGGCAGGGGGGGGGGCAGGGGGGAGGGGGGGAGGGGGCAGCGGGGAGGGGGGGACGGGAGGGCAAGGGGGAAACGGGAGGGGGGGGGCAGGAGGGAGCGCATGCGAGGCGCGGTCGCGCCACGCCAGACATCCCACCCCTCCATACGGTCCCTCCCTGTGGCGCTGATCTGTCTCCATTCGCGGACGCTTGTCATAGACGACCTGGAAGTCCCAAAACGCCACCACCGTGTTGTGCGTACACAGGAGGATGCGAAGGAGGAGCAGGTGGCTGGTTAGCAGGAGGATGAAGAGAACAAAGGGGTGATGAGGAAGGAGGACGAGGACGATCAGCAGCAGCAGCAAGTATAGCAAAAGGAGTGAGACGAGCAGGAAGATTAGGGGAATGCGGAGGCGGGGAAATGAGGAAGGCGACAACAATGAAAACGACTCGGACCCAGAAAAGTGAACCGCGCCGAAGCGAGAACGCCATTTTGAACGACGGGAGCACAGCGCCGATCCGAGGCGAAGGACATCGTTGCAACGGCACCACCATTTTGGAGCATCGAGCACAGTCGGACCGCAAAGCCATGTAAGAAACAACGTTTGGAATCCGATGTTTAAAAAAATGCTGAACGGGCCGGGCACTTCCCGCGTAGAACCAATGGAAAAACGAAAAGACCCACCCCGCGCGCTCACCCAAAAGGTTTGCCGACACGTCTAAAAAATGACTGGGCACGCTTATGGCCGCCCGTCGGCGCCCGTCGCCACCGTCCAGCGCCGCCGTAACTGGGCCCTGGCGCTGCCGCGGCTGGTTTGTTGCCGCCCGTCGCCGCCGTCCGTCGGCGCCGTCGCCCAGTCCGGCGCCGCCACTTGCGCCACGTTGCTTCGCAATGGCTTGTACCGCTTTGCGTCGCACTGCATGGCTGCATCGCTTTGCACAGCTTCGCGCTATTTCGCATTGTTATGCATTGCTGTACGTTGCGTTGCATTGCCTGCATTGAGGCACGTTGCTTTGCAATGGTTCACATTGTTTCTTGCAGTATGTTGCATCGGGTTGAATTGCATTGCCCTGCGTTGCGCTACTTTGCGCAAGCGCACATGAAGTTACAGTACGTTGCATCGTGTTGCACCGAGCTGCGCCGCGGCGCACTGCATTGCAATGTTTTGGCATCGCAATGCATGAATTTGAAATGCATGAGGTCGGTTTGTATCGGTGTGCAATGATTTACATTGTGCCGTATGACTTCGCATCGATTCGCATGTTAGCGCATTGCGTGACATTGCGTTGTGCGGTGTTGCATGGACTGGACACGTGAATTATGGTTTCGGTATAACATATATATATACACACACACACCAGCACCACCACCCCCGAATTTAGTGTTGCAAGTTATTTCGTTTCCGCCCCATCGCCCAATTTAAATATGATATCGCACCATCCCAGCCCAACCAGTATCGACCCCCCCCCATCCTCTCGTATTTATGTTTATATATGCCAAAAAAAAAATTATGTAATCTTATTTTTTAATAAAGCACACGCAATCGTTGATCAAAAACCATGAGTTCGCAAAAACCCCTTGCAACCAACGAAACGAAGTGCGCACACGGGCGTCGTCGCGGGTGCAAAGTCAAGGCACGGTTTCGCAACATTGACAGTTAAATCGATGTACATGTATATGTATACACTGTATATATATATATATATGTATATTACATCTACATATGTATGTATGTAGATGTATCCAAAAACGCGCTTCTGCGAATTCTCAGAAAACCAATTGGCTGTTCAACACGTCCATAAACTAAGACAAAGCGGGCTTCGCGCGCGCGCACGGCGACATTTTTCGGACGCCGTTGCACGCGTGCCGCCGCAAGAACTCCTTTGCAGAAAAACATCGACGCGCACGGGTGCGCGTCGCCGCGCGCGCGTGCCAAAATCATACAAAAAACCTTCGGCACCGTTGGCGTTTTTTTTGGTGATCCAATATCGACTGCCCAAACAGATCCACAACACATGCTTGCCCACTTTTTCACTGCAAGAAAAGGGGAAACACCTGCATCGAAACTTACCATATAAAACGAGGAAAACAAACAAATGACAAACATCGCGCGCGCTCTTGCGAATTCGAAGGAAAGCCACGCGTTGCTCAACTACCCTATCTAATTCTACAAAATGGGCCTCTGGCGCACGCCCTTGCGCGCGCGCTGGGGGGGGGGCGGGGGGGGGGGCACGATCCACATCAAGTAAAACCATGCGGGCCGCCCTCGCGCGTCGGCCGCGCGGGCATGTCGAACTCTTTCCAAACCCTTTTTCATCACCGACGCGAGGACGCCGTCATCGTCGCCGGCGCGATCAGCATCGGCGCCCGCGCTGGCCGCGCCTTCGTCGGTGCGAACCTCCACCAACATCGCCACTATCACCATCGCGCGCCCAAGTTGCCGACTCGCAGCGAAGTTCCCGCTGGGATGCGCCCAGCGTTCAGCGCCGCCACGCCCGCGTCGGCGGCGCCGAACAAGATGTCCGCTTCGCGCGCGCTAGGGTTGGCGCGGCCGCAAAGGTGCACCAGTCAACGCCAAGCACGCTTCGCAATCGCCACCGCGCGGGTCGTGCAAACCAAGTTGCGGGTGGGTTGGCGGGGCATTTGCAGGCGCAAGGGGCGCGTCAACTCGTTCGTCAAAATCAACTGCGCAACATAAAATGCACCGCGTTCGTTGCAAAACCAAATGTGAACCGCTCGGAACGCGCCATCTAGATGGCGCCGCATAGGTTGCAAGCAACTTATGTTTCACTTGGTGTCGGCAGGGCGGGCATTGTTGAATCAGTTGACCCGATCAGGTTCCAATTGCTTTCCATTGCCAATTCATATACGGACCCCCCGCAAGCATCACCACCATCGCCATTGTCATCATCAACAACTCCTCTTCCCCACATTTCCGCCAAGAATCGTCGCCCTCGTTGCCGACGTCATCCGGGATCGCCGGAGGATCGCCGATCGTCGGCGGGGGGTGGGGGGGCAGACTGCGCTCCATTAGTTTGTCAGACTATCCGCAATTCTAACTGTTCCAACCAGGCCCGCGTCGCATTGGGCTCAGGGCCTAGTCGGCGAGGCCGCCGCTCACAAGATCGACCCGAGGTGCCTCTGCCAGCGCCGCAGTCAAGTCAGGGAGGCGCACTGGGAATTCACCCATAAGCTGGGCCACGCCCGACTGACGACCCCAGAGAAAATCTACTGGGCCAGGCGCGGCGTTGATCTTCTTCCCTCGCACTCTGCAGCTCGTCGCTGCGGACCACGATGGCGACCTGCAGCCCGCCGACGGCCGCTGCAGCGACGGCGCGGCCCTGCGCTGTCGCGGCAGCTGGGCCGATGGCGTGCAAACGCTCGCCGCGGCGGAGCGCGACGTGGCCTGGCGCGGGCAGGTTCCCCGCGTGGAAGACCGTGGCTCTCGCGCGAGGTTAATTCCCCCCCGCGCATCAACGCTTTCACGGCGCGGGCCCCGAATGGCGTCGCAAGCGCACGTAGCGAGGGGCAGCCGCCGTCTGCGTGCCAACCGTCGCCCCGCCGCCCTGGTTCCACAATCTGGGTCGACGCGCGCGCGAGCGTCGTCGGCGAACCCCCCCCTAGGACGGGCCCCCCGCTGACTGCGAGGAGAACCTCGGCAAGTTCGCCCTGGGCGACCGCCCCCCGCACTTGTTGCGCCAGCCGTTCGACCCGAGGTCGCCGCGTCGCCCGCGGGCGCGCAACGGCAACCCCAACTGGGCGACACATTTCAACCCGCCCGCGGGCGCGCAACCGCAAGCGCACCGCTCACCTGCCGTCCTCCTCCAGGGGATCGGAGGCGGAGGAAGGATGGGAGGGAGGCGGGAGGGAGTGGGTAGGGAGGAAGGAAGCAGAGGGAGGAGGAAGTAGCGGGGGAGGGGGAGGGGAGACGGAGGGAGGGTAGAGAGCTTACAATGATTGGGGGCGGACGACTTCTGCCCCCCCCCGTTCCACGCAAGTGGCTCCCCACAAGGCTCCAGACCCTAGATTCCTTATCCAAGGCCTCCACGGTCTGCTAGCGGGATGGGTGGGTTAACCGCCCCCGAGGTGGGATGCCAGGGTGATCCTGCTTGAAAAGGTGCACGAGCAGGTGTTTGTTGCGGAGGACAGAGGAGGATCGGGTGGTGGACGTCAAGGAGGATATGGGCGTGGAGGTGGATGTCCTCCTCGCAGCCCCTGGGCGTGACCCGCGGTTCTCCGCCGGGACATTGCAGCGGGGAATCCCCATTCCACGCTGGTGCCTCTTATTTTTTCAAGCCCGGGGAAAAACGGCGAGGGTCGACAAGCGCACGCATTTGGCTCGTCGGTGGCGAGGCAGATGCAGAGTCCGCTCCAGCGTGTGGCTATTCGGGGCGGCCGAGAAGCGAAGCGGCCTTCGTGCAAAGAGGGAGGGAGAAGACGAGGGCGGCCGCGCGGAGGGAATGGGGAAGGGAAGGCGCTCAGACGTGGAAGAGCTCCGTACCAGAGCGGCACAAGCACACACACACACACACACACACACACACACACACACACACACACACACACACACACACACACACACACACACACACACACACACACACACACACACACACACACACACACACACACACACACACACACACACACACACACACACACACACACACACACACACACACACACACACACACACACACACACACACACACACACACACACACACACACACACACACACACACACACACACACACACACACACACACACACACACACACACACACACACACACACACACACACACACACACACACACACACACACACACACACACACACACACACACACACACACACACACACACACACACACACACACACACACACACACACACACACACACACACACACACACACACACACACACACACACACACACACACACACACTTTTGGCGTCACGGCCACGCGCACAGCGACGCGGCGGAGGCAGTCGGCCAGAAGCCCAGAGAGTGCCGTCGGTCAGAACTGCGAGGAGGGAGGACGGAGAGGAAGCCTCGCTCCTGGAGGTGGTGGTGGAGTTTAAGAGGTGCTGGGTAGAGCGTGTTGTCCTCCCAGATCGTTGCCGAGCTCGCGCACGCTTGGTAGACGTTGGAGGTGTCACAAAGCAGGTCTATGCACTTGGCTGCCGCATACGCACTGAGGATTTTGAACGCCAGCCTGGGTACGGAAAAAAGGGTACGATGCCTAACAACAAAAAAACTGTCCAGAATCGACGGCGGCCGCTGTTGGGCAGCTGGCGGCCTTCTGCCTCAAATGGTCAATATCCGCGCCGGCACCAACAGGGAGCCCTGTCCAACAAGAACCCGTGATGGGAGAAGGAGGAGGAGGAGGAGGAGGAGGAGGAGGAGGAGGAGGACCCCCTCCCACTCCAACTAATAACTAATGGTGGTGGTGGTGGAAAACAGGCCCCTCAAATGCGGTCGGTCTGTGCAAGGGCTCCCAAAGTCGCGCTTCGCGCTGCGCGAAGCGCGACGCGCGAACCGCTCCGCGCCCTCCCCGAGGAGTCGCAGCCGACGCACGACGCGCGAAGCGCCAACCGCGTCGCGCCCTCGAGGGCACACCTGCGCGTCCGCTCCGCTCGTGCCGCTGACAGTCGGGGCCTTGACCTAAGGAACCCTAAATCAGGAACGAGGCCCCTTTTACCCATGAGTTCAACTCCGATGTCCTATGAAAGCACGCAAGAAAACCTGAGGCAAGCTGTGAAACACTTCAGGAACGCGGAGCCCCTCCCCAGCGAAAAGGGTTCCTTCTTCAGCGCCCCGACTGTACTCGGGCGCGTCGAGCATCGGCACAGGGCAGCGAAGGTGCCGGCCAGCCGCGGGGGGCCTCGGCCACGGCCTCCCGCAGCGCCAGGTGCGCCACCAGCAGCTCCGTCGGCGCAGAGCTCAGCAGGGCGCCCACGCCCTGGTCCACCGGGTGGCACGGCTCCTGTGGGCGTCGATGAGCGGGGGGGCGATAAGTGCAGTGAGCCCACAAAAGACGAGCGCGCCCAACCACGTCCATGAACACGGCCCCCCGGTCCGCGAGACCAGCCGGGTGATGCGAACGCTCGCGCAATGCGTACTCTCGAAACCAGCGTGGATCCAAGCAGGAGCACGTCCTTCTTTCGTGCCTGAAAGTGTGGGGGGAAGAACGTAAACTGTTTGGTACCCTGAGGGCCCCCTTGTGGCCCCTAAATTTAGGGGCCCTGGGGGCCCCCATTGTTCGCCCCCCCATCACACGTCGGCGGCAACTCATGGGAGCCTCCCATACCATCTTGCTGGCTCTTGCAAATCGACGCTAATCGACGCTAACTCGACGCCAATCGACGCTGAATCGACGCGAATCGACGCTCACCGGCGCTAAATCGGCGCTATCGCATCGACTCCAGACGCTAATCGATGCTGATCGACGCTAAAGACATAATTAAAAGGGACGGGGAAGAGTAGGAGGAGGAGGAGGAGGAGGCGGAGGAGGTGGAGGAGGGGTGAGGAGGAGGGGTGAGGAGGAGGGTGAGGTGGAGGAGGAGGAGGAGGAGGAGGAGGAGGAGGAGGAGGAGGAGGGGAAAAGACGCCCCAGCTCCGTCAGCAGCATCAGGCCCGGGTCGATGGTCCGCCCCCCGACGTCCAGCGCCAGGCAGTTCGCGGCTGGCCCCTGCCCCGGGGCCCGCGAGACACGCGGGGGCCACGGCTCCGAGAGTTCACTCCGAATCAGTGCTTGCACTGAAAAATTTGGCGAAATCTCCCGCCGAATTTGGGTGGCCGGCTGGGTTCCCAGGTTTCCAGTTCTGGTTTCCTGGGTTTCTGGTCATTGGCTCCCGTCCGACTTCGGTGGGTTCCGGGTTCCCCAAATGATCCCGGTCGATCTCCTTATCGATCTCTTTACCGATCCCATTTCAAACCATCCACTGATTGGGGTTTCTCTCTGGTGTAATGTTGATGTTAGGAGGCAACTCCTGGGAGGTCTCATTTGGAAAGATTGAAGGCAATACAGCCCGATTGAAAGGCCACCTCACCAAATCAGGCAAGATTCAGCCTGGGACCAAGCCGGATTCAGAAGGTTTAGGCCGGATTAGCCTCCAGTCTCGCTCGCCCATCTAGAGTTAGGTCGGGCATGTCCTCCAACGGGCGGTCTTTGGAAGAAAATACAAAGTAGCAAAACCTGTACCAAAAAAGTCAAGACAAATAATGAGAAAATCCGCCGGCCCCCTTGCGGGGCCACCAGGCTGTAGGCCGGGAATGTGCTGCTCCCTGTACCAGTTGCAGCTTCCAGAATCCACTGTTACAGTTCTGCTTGTTGCTGCTTACTGTTCCTCGTTGATGAACGCGCGAGGGGGGGGGAGCCCAAATCAACAGAACTACCACGCCCTGGGACGGTTCTCAGAATTTCTGGGGGGGTAAAAAAAGACACCCCTCACGCAGATCCGCAGGGTCAGGGTCCAAAAACACAAGGGACTTGCCAATGGTTTGAACTTCAGTGCCACCCCTCACGCAAATCGGCGGGGTCAGGGTCCAAAAACATAAGGGATTTGCAACATTCCAGAAATCCGGTGGCACCCCTCACGCAGATCGGCGGGGACAGGGTCCAAAAACACAGGGGATGCGCCACATTTCTGAAATCCGGTGGCACCCCTCACGCAAATCGGCGGGGTCAGGGTCCAAACACAACACCGATTTGCCACATTTCTGAACTTCAGTGGCACCCCTCACGCAGATCGGCGGGGTCAGGGTCCAAAAGCAAATGGGACGCGCCACATTTCTGAAATTCGGTGGCACTCCTCACACAAATCGGCGGGGTCAGGGTCCAAAAACACAGGGGATGCGCCACATTTCTGAAATCTGGTGGCACCTCTCACGTAGATCCGCAGGGTTAGGGACCAAAAACAAAGGGGATGTGCCACATTTCTGAATTTCAATGGCGCCTATCATTCAGATCGGCGGGGTCAGGGTCCAAAAACACAAGGGATTCGCCACATTTCTGAAATCCGGTATCACCCATCACGCAGATCGGCGGGGTCAGGGTCCAAAAACACAAGGGATGTGCCACATTTCTGAAATTCGGCGGCACCCCTCACGC